CCCTGGTTTACACTAAATGTGACAAAGCTTCTGAACGATGAATACAAACGGTAGGTGAGCTTCATGTGTAATAAAATCTTAGAGTAATTCAAGTTCTTTATGAAATAAAACTGAAGAAACAAAAAATGCAGTTTCATGGACAATTAAATTTAACATAAAACAAATTTACCTAAAATGAGAAAACAACAAACAAACCCAAAAACTCAACCAAAAGGACCTGTAGATAATATCTCTGACCATGCATGGCTTGGTTTTTAAATTACAATTCACAGAATAACACTGCTGGAAAGCCTATTTTACACTATGCTACACAGAACACAAAAAAACATGAGTAGTAACATTTACACAATTTTACAGTATTTCTCCTTCGTCTAAGAAACACGTCCTTTTCTACTTTACATTTTTTTACAGTTCCCAGCTCACGAACAAAGGACACTATATGCGCAAAGACAGTCTTTAAAAAGGAGAAATGCACCCAATGCTACAAATGTTTTCTTTCACAGAAGCCTCTGTATTAGATAGTGATTAAACAAAACATATCTCTATCTGCCACTCAATGTGAAATGGACTAATTAGAAATAATTTTAATTTTTTTTTTGAGTAAACATAAAACTATACATCATCTCTGAAACTCCTTGAATTACTTGCTATGTAACTATTAAACTGCTTGCCAAAAACCTCTTGGGATCGCATCTGAAATGCCAACTGAGCCAGTTGCTGCCCCAGTTGAAAAAAGGAAGGTAGGCCTTACATGTTGTTCAAGTGTTTGCAAATAATTTTCAACAGTTGCCCATAACCAAACATTTTCTCTTTCAAAAATGCTTCAGTTTATTTTCTTTCAGAGCCTGTAAGTACCTGGCAGTTTTCCCTGCGGAGAAACATCAACAGTGGTAGTCCTTACAGCTTAGACAAGTGTTTCTTGCATCCCGATGCTGGAAATGGGGAGCATCATCCGAACGCGGCACAGGGTCAGGCTCTCTGCCTACGCACGCAGGCGCAGCCCGCCTCGGAGGTAAGGACAGGAGCGGTACATGCGTAGTGAGCACACAGGAGTGAAAAAGAGAGAGGAATATGCCCGCGCTTCTGTCTGACACCGTGTCCCTGTACATGATTTAGATAAACGCAGGCAGCGTGTACACCTGCCTACGAGTTGTAGCGGGAGGATAAAGGATGTGAAGCTGGTAGGCTGCCACCTCGTTCCCATTTCATCTCAGTGAAACCAAAGCATTCTAAAAACAATAACCACACAACATACACGCACCTGAATCCAGACTACTACCATCGGTCAAACAGTTTCTAAAGCATTTTGGGTAGACGCTTGCTTTTGTTACAGTACCAGTGATGCTGGTGTAGAGCGGATGCCGGACAAAAGAAAGCATTTACTGCACCTACGGTGGCATTTTACCCCTTAGGTTTGCAGCAGATGTTTCAGTCCTCACTTGTGACTTTTCAATGGCTTTTAGCATTCTCCAGGGTATGTTCAGAGCACAGCACACCAGGGATTTACGGCGCTGTCCTGCCACATTAACCAGTACCTTGAGGGGGAATGGAGCACCTTGCAGGAGGCTCTTGCTGTTCAGTCACATCAAGACTCTGACTCCAAATTTCTGTTAAATCGGGGTATGAACTCTTATCTAGATATTCACATGTGACCTTCTATTAAGCTAAAGCCAAAGTCTTGTCTGCCTACAAATCTGATGCCTTATTTTGCTGACAGAGTCAATCAGTACAGAGATTTACAATAAAAGTGGGTCAAAAGACAAAAAGAAATGTATTTTGAAAACTGCTTTTGATGCTGTTTCCAGTATTTATCAGAGCAAGAAAGACCCTCATTAAAGCACCATTTTTTTGTTGATTTTGGATTACGGACAGGGATCTATCAAACAGAAGGGTCACACGTAGCAGCCAAGGGGCTATAAAACATCTGGAATCCATGAGCCTGGTGCCTGGCCTTACTGAAAGGTGAAGAGTGATGAATTTAATTTTTGTGAGGGATCTTTCATTCTCGATTGTGGCACACAGCATTCCCTGGGGGTGTTTCTTCACCGCAGCCACATAACTGCTACTGAAAGTTATCCCTCAGTTGGGAGTGAGGGAATACAAAAATATTTGTATGCAGTCTGCTTTTAAACACCAAGGGAGATGAAAGGAAATTAGGATAGCTTCCCTTCGGCGGCCATTTCATATGCTAAAATGTACCTCAGCATCCAAATCAGGAAGGCATTATGGCGGTAGATGGACAGACAAGTTATTGGCAGCAGATGGGTGCTGAAATGAACACCAGCAGTGACTCTGAGAGCTCAGTGGAGATACAAAACTCTGGGCACTACATTTGCAGCTGACTGGTACTATGAAAAAGAGAAGAGAGGTAGTTATTATGGCTGCAAGTGTTTAAAAACAGCCTTCATATATCTGTAAGTGAGACATGGGAATGTGTTACTACATCGTGTTTCCAAGACCTTTTATATTTGTCACAAAACCAACCCATATCTCACACCCATTTTAAAACAACTGTTACATCCTTATGGTGGGCTTTTTTGATGATGGAGGGGCAGGCAGCAACTCAAACCCTGAAGGTTACAACCTGTTTAGACTGACAGACAAAGGCATGCAAATATAACCAATTCCTCCACTTCATCTGGAATCCACTAGTTAGATGAAGGGGAACAAATGTTATTCCCACAGTCAAGACATGCTAGCAGACTCCGGAGGAAATACTGCCACCTTACAGATTAGCATACTGGGCCGCTGGCCATTTTTATCAGGAACCAAAATGGAAATCTTTTCTGTAGTTATTGCATTGTTACTGTGTTTGATGACCTTGTTGCAATAAACATTGTGGACAGTGGAATTAATCTGACTGTACACTACTGCATAAACAAGACCAAGTTATCCTTCAGAAAAATTGGTGTCGGTTTTGCAGACAGAGAACAGGAAGAGAAAACCAAACATAATGGAAAAACAGACAAGGAAGAATATGCTTCACATGTAAGACACTTGCATCCAGAGAATCTGAAAGAAACCGTCTTTTTTTTCTGAATTTATTCTAACCCCATTCCCCGTATTTAATCTTCTCCTTGATAACAATCATATGAAGTTTTGCACACTTTTTGCACAATTCTTGGAAAATACATAGGCCCAACTATTAGTAATTCATCAGCTATGTTACGTTTCAGACACAGCTGCTGTACTATGTCTAAACGAAACACAAATTTGTTTCCTGTTAGCAAGTGGTCACCAACAGCCACCTACTTTGCACATTCAGTATATTTTAATTAAAATATTCAGTTTTAAAAACTTGTTTGATTTTCTCCCTCCAATCAAATATAGGACCTCTGTCAACATAAATGCATTTCGTTGCATTTTTGCTTCTTTTATCACTTAGCAAGTATCACAGTTCAACATAACCGTTACATTCAGGGTGTCTTCCTCTTGTTTCAGACTTCAAAGACCTCCACAAACCCCCATTACCTTCATTTCTTTGTTCTAAGCATCCTTACGAGAGATTTAAAAAGTCCATAATGGTGAGCAGCACATAAAGATCCACTTTAAAATCCAGATGCTTACAGGTGTTGCTTATTTTTCAGTGAAATTAATTATATGCCACTTCTTTCTGCGTCCTAACCAGCTTCCTCCTTTCCATAGCTTTCAAATACGCAACACATTTTATTAATTACACAGCTACTGCCTTCTGCCTGCTCGTAAAATTGACTGCTTAGCAAACCGAGGATAAAACCACATCAAACTCAATGCTGTCCTTAAGAACCTTTGCTCATAGTGACTTTTTACGCCATGGACTTTGACACGTGAAGATCCTAGGCATCGGCAGATAAAGAATGAAATGTTACGATCAAGAGGGTGGACGGCGTAGATAGGATGTTCAACCGCAGATCTCATTGCAGTGTTGTCAGCTACCCGATTCTCTCATCACTTGGATGCTGTGCTCAATGCGATGTGATGGATGACCGAGGTTTCAAAGGTTTATCGTGTTTGGTTCAACTATCCTGAACAATCTTCAACGATTATCCTGTCCTTAAGGAGAGCAGAGTAGAATAACTTGAAGTACCTGACCTAGCTTGGGCGCCAGAAGCAACACAGCTACGGCATTAGGAGCCCAGCACAGACTATTAATTAACCCTACTTTTCAAGTGTGTTTTGCAGCCAAAATTGAACCCTGTTACCATGACTAAACAGCTGCAGTTCCCCAGTTAACTAGCTTGAAGGAAGCCTCAGCTGTTACTGCAGTGCAGACACACCCTTAATCTTAGAGGCTAAGGCAATGGAAAGAGATAATCTTGTGCATCCTTGAGGATCAATTGGCCATATACAGACTTTGGCTTAAAAAGTTCCCTTTTATGGTATTGTTGTTTGCAGTTCTCTTCAAAATGCTTCAGTGCTGGCTAGGTGTTCAATTCATCTTCACTGCTGTATATGTCCTCCACTTAAAGGCAGATGAGTTGACTACAGGTTCTTCAAACACACATGCTGAGGGCAGTTATAAAAGGCAGTTATAAAACAGCGAGATAAGGGCAAACATATCGGAGTGTTCACTGTGGTACCCTCTCCACTTGCATCAAAGATAATCACAAAAAAGAGTAAAGAACAGCAAAAACACAGCAGGCTTTTAGCAGGGCCATTTCATGTTCAGATCCATTAATTTGAAATAAAATCACCACCACATTATCTTGCAGCAGAGAAAAGCAGCATGAAGGGCACAGGCAAGTGAACAAAACTTCTTGATCTTAACATCTCAATGCATTTATCGCGTATGTAAAACTGTTGGCATAGATCTCTGAAACTGTACAAGTGCACAGTACAGCCATAGCTCAACAGGAGGGAGGTATTCTGTGTCCTCTCCTCTGTGTGCATGCTGCTATGTACAGTATGAGTGTGTATTGTATGTATACATATGAATTCAGGATCCTAAACCTTCCACTTGTATTGCAGGCCATCTCCCGCCCCATGGGGTGAATCCCATTGAATAACACTGAGTTCCTACAAAAAGACATTCTTTTCCTCCTGTCCAGGTGGAACAGTAAGGCCCCAGAGTGCAAATCATGGTCCAGCTAGCTTCAGCAAGAGCATGATTTCACGCCATGACTGTATGTGTATAGATACACGCACACATGTCCACACATTCATTCTGTACATATACAAAGGTACACATACATTTTTACATTCTTTGGTGGCAAAACAATAAAAAAACCCCAATGAACCACAGGTTGCACAGGCTGTGCATCTTTGCTTAATGAATCTGCTTCAGGAAAATTGGGGTTGCTGTAACAGGAGTTATTTTATCTCTTTAAGGACTGTTCCTTGCATTGACAAAATGCCATACATTAACAATGACGAAAACAGGGCACAAGGAAAGCCAGCGTAAACACAGCTCACATAATGACAGATAACTCAGAGAAAGCCCCCTCCTACCCACATCAACACACCACGAGAAGAAGCAGCCATATGCTTTCACCTACAAGCACTCAAACGCTTCCTCAGTTACTGTCCAGATGTTGTGCTGAGCTGCGGCACACGCTTCTGCCCTGGCTGTGGGGTTTCGCTTTTTGTTGCTTGTTAAAATCGAACTAACAGAGGACGGGATGTTGGGAGCAGCAGAGGAGGCTGGCAGGTCAATGCCACACCGAAGGGTTGTCAGCCTGTGTGCTTCAGATGAACGGCTCTTCTTGTCACCACCTCTGGGATGTCAAACCTGCATCTCAGAGGTGCTGATGAGGCCCAGTGCTTTGGCTTCTTCTGGTGTCAGTCCACTCTTTAGTGTCCTTCTCACTGGATAGTCATAAATTCCAAAAGGAGGCAAAAAAACCAAACAACACAGAAAATGCAAACAATTAGAAGCGATAATTACACAAGATTTGCAGCTGAAAAAAACCCTGTTAACATGCAAGCTGAGTCAAATCAAAAGTTGCTAGGTACTCAGGGCCTCAAGTTCAGAAATGCTGAGTAATGCCCTATGCCAAATCCATAGGAGCAGTACCCAGCAACTCCAAACAGTCAGGCAAAAAGACATTTGACATTTAGTCAACAAAAACTTTTAAGGAAAAATACCACAGCGTTTTAAGATTTTTTTTTTTTCTCTGAAATTGTATCCGTTGATTTCCAGTCCATAGAAAGTATCATCTGCCCTATTATTTTATAGTTTCATAAATATTTTTTAAAAGAACTTTTGTATCTTTATAGGGCTCAATTGAATTTATCGCTATTAACTACTATGTGACCCTTTAAACATGTAAAAAAACACAACCCCAAAAGTTAAAAGATTAAAAATGAGACTATTTTATAGTCGATTCAAATCATTAAAACTACTGTCTTCGTACACGCTCCCCTTTCTTCTATAATGTTCCCCTGTCCTAGCCCCATTTGCATCATCTTTGCTACTAGTAGTCTGCAGCATTGAATTTGCTACTAGTAGTCTGCAGTTGAATTTAAATGATAAATCTAGGCCAAAATCTTATTTCTTAATTTTCTGTGAAGTGTTCTGAACACTAGCCCCAACATAAAACTTTTAAAATTTGTGATTGCCTTTTTTATTCAGAAACAAGTGACTATGTGACTGCACACACTGAGCATTAGTGTCCTCCTAGTCTTACTGGTGCCATGATTTTCAGGTGGATGGGCTTTAGTTCAAGACACAAATGGGGTGTTCACTCCACACTCTGATGTTCCTTAAGTACAAAACGCACATTCAGAAGTTTAAGCTGCATGCAAAGCATAAACAATGACTTCATGTTGAACAAAATATATTCAGAGCCCCAAAATAATGAAGTCTAGAGGAAACTCTTAGAGAAACCAATTGCAAACACTGGTTAAGGACTTCTTGCATCGGTATCAACTAGCACAATTGAGACCTCTAACTTACTGAGATATTCAGTCCATGTAACTGAAACTGGGTGGTCACACTCAAGGGTCTAGCAGAGTGAGAGGAGGGAATGGGTCGGTATAGAAAACAAGAGGATAAGAGAAAGGGAAAATACAGCATAGTTGAACATTTGATACCATGCAGGTAGAACGAATGTGATCTATGTTTGATAGTCAAACCGCTTTCATCAGTTACTGAGGTGAATCAAATGATCTTAAGGGTCTTTTCCAACCTCAATGATTCTATCACCATAACCACTGTAAAACAAAGCTATTTTTCTTGTCAGATGCTAAGACAGGAAGAGTGAGGGAACAAGCAATTGTTATTCCTTTTGGTAAACATTTAATAGGAACTGAGGTGCTCTGCTATTGCTGGTCATGTACTGGAATAAGCAAAATTCTGGTCTTATTTTTGACCATGTAAATCTGGAATAACCTTCTTTAGGTCAGTATGCTTACTACTGTACAAATAACTGGGCTGAGACTCTGGCTAACAACTGAAAGGGAAATGTGTGCCTCTGTAACTTCCACCAAGCAGAATACAGTTGTTTAAATTCCACCATCAGCCGGAGTGACAGGATTACTAGTTTACTAGGAAAAGCCAAATGGATTTACAATAACATATAGGTCTCTTTGAAGAAAATTACAGGAGTTTATATTCAGAAGTCATAATCAGGAATTAAAATACCATGGTACAAACCATCTTCATGGAAGAACAAGGAAGAAAACTAAGGAGTCTTCTTTACATAAGCAAGATTTCTCTCTGAATCTCCAGTTGCTTACCTATCAAACATACTAAAGTCTTAGTCTGAGGACCTCATGTATTAACCCTTGGATGACTGAAAAAAAAAATACTGTATGTAGCATGTGACAAGGACAAGTGCCCTGTTCTGGGTTTGCTGTATGACTCACACAGTGGAGGCCAGCCCCGGGTTTGTACTTTTTGTGCCACTGCAAAGCAAGTAGGAATGACAATACTCAGTGCATTGCTGGGACGTACGCAGCTGTAATTAAACAAAACAATCTCTTTGCATTCCTCGGTTGATTGTTATAACTTATCTCAGCTCTCCTATAGTACAGAGAGAAAGATAACTTGGATTTAAAATATTCCAGTGACCTAAGCTTTCAAGTCCAGCCGTGAGGAGAAAAAAGCTCCAAACAATTTAGGACTTTGGTGGTCATAATGAGATTGTCAAGAAAATAGTTAATAAAAAGCAAAGATGTGAGGAATCTTTTCAGTGACAGAGTGGTTCCCATAAACACTGATGGCTGCTAAGTGTGTGGGGCCAAATACTGCAAAGTACTGTGACTACTGGCAAGACTAAAGCTGTCCACCATCAACAGGCAACCGGAAGGATAACAGCTGACAGAATCATGGTCCAGACTCAAATGAGTGAATTCTTGCCCCTACAATGCAACAGGCCAGTCGGACACAGATGAATCCACTTGTAGTTTGAAGTATTTTGTGCTTAGGGAGATGAAAGTGGCCTGATAAAAGGTCTCTTTATATAAAAAGTATATCTAATATGTGCAAATTACTCACAGTACATTTCCTCATCTGAAGATACAGTGGATGGATGCAGTATCAGTAATAACACAAGAACAAGTTCCAGCCCCACTATTCTCTGCACTGGCTTGTGGACTATGGAGGCTTGTGGGTGATGAAGCTAGGAGAAAGTTATCTACAGGAGCAGAGACTCCTCTGGGAGGTGAGTGAACCTTGTCTTGACATGCTGTTAAACAGATGTCCTCAGACTTTTGTCTATTTCCTCTTAAAGCGCTTGGTAGGGTTCCTCTACCTTAGGAAAGGTCATGAACACGGTCAGTCATCAAAACTGAATGCAGAGAGATATTTTTCTTCCATGTTTTATAGGCATTGCAAAATTACATTTCTCAAACTAGATCTTCACTCTCCCCTCTTCGCTGAACTCTGTCTTGTCTCTAACTGGACTAGACATAATATCTTGGCTTGTAAAACTCTTGGCCTACTGCTTATCACATTAAACTGAGTTATGGAATGTATTTTGGAGGCAGTGACAATAAAAATAAGACTTTCAAATGACCTTTTAGGTTCTTTAAGCAATTTTATAACATTTGCTAAAGAAACATAACATAGAGAAAAAATAACTTTTGCTCTTGTCACAAGCAAGGCCTGCTGAGATCCCATAACCAAGAAACTAAATGTTGTTTTTCTGGGGTCAGGGGGTATGATATTCTTTGTTAATCGGGAAATCTGGAATTTTATTTGATATCCTAGCAGAATGCAGTGTGCTTATGATGAACTCAATGAATTTGACTCTGCCTGTTGGGTCAAAATCTACACAGATACATAGCCCTCACAGTACACTGGGAATGTTTTAAAAAAGAGTAATTCCCTAAGTTTAACTTTGTCAGAAAATATAATTATCTAGGGTTTGGTTGTTTTTTTTTTTTTTAAAGAGCAAATAGCATTCCTAATTTCCCCTCCCCCTCCCTTTTTTTTTTTTTTTTTAAGATGCAACGAGAAGTAAAGATCAGTCTGGCTGGCGCCATTTATTCTTGCATTTGCAATGGCTTTTGAGATGTGTGCCTAGACTTGTATGGATGAGTCACTTGAAATGCAGAATAGATATGACCATTCTCCTGCTCAAAAAGTCACAGAATTAGTGTCATTCCTATTACCTAGATGTGGCAGCCACAGAACTTTCTTTTGGTCCCAGCTGCAAAGGTAATGCAGCTCCTAGTTGTTGATTTGGAACGAAGAGAATTCCAGGTAGTAAATTATACAGCAAGGACAGCAGGAAGAGCAGATGATAAGAGGCAATATAAGCCAGCTCCATCATCTCATTTAATGTATTTTAGTTTTATTTTCTGTTACCGATCCACACCCAGCTTACACGCTCAGTCTATTTTGTCATGTATTTAAATTTAACATATTCTCTTGGACTTTACTCCAATGAATCCAGCAATGGCAATTTGCAACTCAAAAGACTCAGACAGACAGGCTCACACACATTCTCTTATTTTAATCCTTTTCTGCATTTGCACATTTTTCTGTCACTATCTATATAAGTTATACTTATGTTTAATTATGCATGTATCATTGCTTAATATGACTAGGCCTAAATGCTTAACAAAAATACTAAAACATTATGCGCAGAGACTTTCTGTGATCCACACCCAGCTTACACGCTCAGTCTATTTTGTCATGTATTTAAATTTAACATACATACTCGCTTGGACTTTACTCCAATGAATCCAGCAATGGCAATTTGCAACTCAAAAGACTCAGACAGTCTTGCTCACATTCTCTTATTTTAATCCTTTTCTGCATTTGCACATTTTTCTGTCACTATCTATATAAGTTATACTTATGTTTAATTATGCATGTATCATTGCTTAATATGACTAGGCCTAAATGCTTAACAAAAAGACTAAAACATTATGCGCAGAGATTTTCTTGCAGGGATTTGTAGGTAAATTTTTAGATTTTTATCATGCACCTCTCTGAAGAAGTACAGCCAACTGAAATGTGGTCTTTATCTGGGTCAGCCACATAGAACGCTCCAGGAAACATCATATTGTTATGCATTATTATTGCTCTGCAGCTTTGCTTTGAGTTGTGTCAGCACTTCATAGATGGCATAAGTCCCTCCTAACAAGAAATTCTGTAGTTCACAACCGTCTCCTGGTGTAACTTACGGTGGCTGTGACATAAAGAGGAGTCTAGCAGTGGAAAAGGACAAAGTGGTGTTTTGTAAAGAAAGCTTAACTTGTGTTTCATCTCCAGGTTGCTTACGTTATAGGGAACAAAAAGTAACATTGCTTTAGAGAATCTAGGCTGCATGAAGAACATACTGGTTTTAAATTAATATTTAACATGTAGTTGAAACTGTTAAAAGTTTCCAACTTTATGTATTTCACAGATCATC